AACCTTATGGCGTCCTGGCACAGAATGGTTGGAAACTTCAGGGAAGAAGGGAAGGTAAACATCACATCCTATGCCAGAAAATAATCACCCCGAGAATAACAATGCAGCTTCAAGTGCACGAGCCAGGGTCTGCAGGTTCACAGACCATGTGTATTGATGCAGAACCTCAGACCCTCTTGGCTGATGGGGATTACATCAACCCACGCTGTTATGTCAACGGGGAATTTACCCATCATGAGCGTACAGAAGATTCTGGTTGCCAGTACGAGCTGAAATTGAGTAGCCAGGGTTACTACCAGTGCCAGGCTTGGTCTCATCCACCCTTCTCATTTGTGAAGTCAAATGTTATTCTGCACAGGGACCCAGCAACATTCACCTTCGTCATTACTCTCGTCCAGGATAAACCTTATGTTCCCCGGCGTCATGACAGCTCCTTCATGTTGACAAACAGATCAAACAGGGATTCTGATACTTGTGCTGAAGTCTTCATGGCAGATTTGAGGAGTACCGACTTAACTGACAAATTTCGATTTACAGATAAAAATTTCTTCTACATGCCATCTGGTGCTGAAATGAAGCTTGTGCACAATTTCCATCTTGAGTGTGAGATTAAGAACACAAATCGATATATTGTGACAGAAAATATTTTGTTAAAGACTCTGCATGAAATGCTTCCTCTGGGAAAGACTTTCTCTGACTGCACACTTTTGGACCTCCGAAGTACACAAGGTTGTTTGAGGAATGTTACGCGGAATTTTGCCTCAGGCACCCCAAAAGAACTCACATGGCCTTCTACAAATGGAAATGCCATAGTACTTCCTGAACAATTATGCATTACAGCAGAAGGGGAACCTGTCACACGAGAGTGCCTTGGAGATTTCTTTATAGGATACTATTGGGGTCCTCCATCGAATAATTGCACGGGAGATCCTTCATACATTACTCGAGAGCTCTGGAAGATTAGCACAAACCCCAAACATCTAAATGAATCATCTGAACTGACCGTCCTTACTGCCAACAGCACTTCACTCCAGCCTGCTGACATTCACTTCGTTGCCCAGACACTAGATGCTTTCTCCAGAGATGAAGATATTTCCAGTTTCGATTTGGAAGACATTGTTGGAGTTATGAATAACGTCATGGCAGCAAATGAAACTGCATTCGAACCGGTTCAGTGGAAGTTAAATTCTTCAAGCACTATCCTTGAAGCTTTCGAAAAGATGACATTTAAGGTTCAGTTACCAAGAGAAAAAGGCGACCAGGCCAAAAATTCCTCGAGAGAACTCATATCAGTTGAGCGACTAGATCTTGAAGTAAACTCAACTATCATTGGTTACAAGTCGCGCCAGCTGTCCGGAAAGGAAGGGCACGGCGAGACACTAATAAAGGGCGTCAATGAATATGACCTCGATGATGCCGATGCAGCTATACTTCTTCCCAGCAACTTGACCTTTACTGTTGCTGGGGACTTAGGTCAAGGAAGGTCCGTGGAGATAGAGGAAGAAAAGGTGCAGGTAACTTTCGCCGTTTACCGGAACGAGAAGTTGTTTCAGGAGAATATAACTAACTATACAGTAAATAGCCACATCATTCAAGCAACATACAAAGGAAAGGTTGTCAAAGACTTACAATACCCAATTAAAATCTTATTTAAACCCCTGAAGAATGGAAATGATACTGTTTGTGTGTACTGGGATTTTGCCAGAAATAGTGGAAAAGGTGGCTGGTCAAGCGAGGGATGCTGGCCGGGGGAGCGAGAGAAAAATCACGACATTTGCTACTGCAATCACCTCACTTCCTTCGCCCTGCTTATAAATTATGACGAAAACAGTAGCTTCCCGGGCCTTCACGGCCAAATTCTCGATATCATTACTATCATTGGTTGCTGCCTGTCCATTTTTGGCCTCCTCTTGGTTTTTACAACGTTCTTCCTCTTCAAGAAATGGCGCCGCTCACTGAGTAACAAGATTCTAGTAAATCTGTCGTTTTCGGTGTTCTGCAGCATGGTCATCTTCCTCGCTGGGATCGACCAGACGTGGGACGTGACGCTGTGCCGCGGTGTGGCCGTCGGCCTCCACTACTTCATCCTGGCCTCCTTCGGCTGGATGCTGGTCGAGGCGGTCCATCAGTACCTGAAGTTTGTCAAAGTTGTGGGCACCTACATTCCGAGATTCCTGTGGAAGGCATCCGTGTGTGCGTGGGGCACGCCTGTCCTGCCGATATTAGTAGTGCTGGTAATTGACAGTTCATTGTATGATTACAATGCGGATAAAAACAATGACGTTCGTATCTGCTGGATGTCGGTAAACGCTTTTAAATACGCTTTTCTTCCTCCTCTTGTGCTCACTATGACTGTGAACTTAATCATGTTCAGTTTGATCATCCACGGGGCCGTGTGTGGCCGAGCGAGAGTTAATTCCACGATGTCGGAACGAACGCTGTTCATGAATCAGCTCCGCATGGCCGTTTGCGTGTTCTTCCTGCTGGGCTTCACGTGGAT